TTCACGAGCTTCTCTTGTCTTAAATTGAAGAAGAAGCAAAGGATAGGAGACTATTACCTGGCCGTATAGTCCTGGAAGCTTAGGCCGTAAAACTAATCAAGAAAGAAAGAAAGAAGAATTCATAGTTCTCACAAGTATGATTGGTGTTATTTTGTGTTTTTTTTTTAAAGAAACGTAAGTATTTTTGACGGTCAATCTATCCTTAACTTTTATTTTTTACGTTTCGTTCCGAGCCCAACAAGCTTTTATATCATATAAATTGTGTAATGAGATTATAAGTTGATAGTAAAAGTGTTACAGATATTTATTTTCTTCTTTTTAGAGCATTTAAATAAAAGCTTTTATTTAATTTACAATGTATGTATGTATGTATTTCAAAAACGGCAAGAGTGGCTGGTATAGGGTTTGAAGTAGGACGAGGCAGGATTATAGCAGCCAAAGCAGGAACTTGTTTCAGCCATCCTGCTTTTATTGTGTTGCTATGTGTGACGTCACCAATCAGACTTAAACTTGCTGTATCTTAAAAACAGCAAGTATTGCTGGGATGAAATTTAGTGCAGGATGCAACAGGGGTATAGCAAGCAGGAACCAGTTTTGGCGATCCTGCTTCTCATGTGTTGCCAACTGGGAAGTTAGCAACCAAAATAAAAGTAACTATAGCTCAAAATTGGTAGGTGTGGCTGGGTTGGGATTTGAAGCAGGATAAAGCAGGATTGTAGCAGCCCAAGCAGGATCGTATTTTATAATTCCTGCTTTCAATGAGTTCCTAACTTCCCTGATCTGTAAGTCATGCACTTTTTCAAAAATCTGAAAGGAGCATTTTTATGACCCCATAAAACTGCAATTCTTTCCCCCTTTAACCGACTCTATCTCCAGTAGTTTCCGAGATACCCATAGAGAACTTCGTAGGAAACTCATCCTGTATGTAATATATGTAATGTTTTATGATTTTCAATGATACGCGTGGTTATATTTTGAATTAAAAATGAATTCTATGTTGTTTTCATATTAATTTTTGTTTTATTAACTATTTTTAAAAGCGATTAGGTTTCTCTACAATGAACACATGAAACTCAGTTATTTGTAGAGATGAGAAAACTGCGACTCTCCAATCGCAATTGATTGAAATTGCGATTGCGATTTTTAAATCGCTGCGACTACAACCTGCCATTGGGATTTTAATATTCAAATAATGTACTAGGTATATAATTGTCTGTGTATGGCCCTTAACATTTAAAAAAAGTTAATATTTTTTAAGCGTAAATGTCAAAAGTTGACATATAATATGCCATTTTTATTATTATTTTATATTCACAGGGTCATTTTCTATTGAATAAAGTAAAAAAATATCGAGGTTGCCATTTAAAAATGAAAAGTTGTAGTTATTTCCGGTGAAACAGGAAGTGGTCGAAACGAATTGAATACGTCAATCAATCCCAATTTATGTCATATGCTCATATCAAATCTCGTTTTTTTATCAGAAAAAATAAAAAATTATAGGGGCGAACCATTCTTGAGAAACATCCAGTACAGGGTGCCCCACTAAGAATAGCTCTCGGCTGTATCTCGGAGAGTTTTAGCCGTAGGGCTTACTGAAAAAATATTTATAACTAAAGAGGCTATGAGAAATTGCTGGAAATTATTTTCAAGTTTGTAAAACGGCCGCTAGGGGGCACAACTGCAACAAAAAATAAAAAAATATAATTTTTACAGAATTTTGCCTAGATAATGAGTACTATAAATAATAGCTTCATAATCTTCAGTAAATTTTGGATTTTCTTTGTTAGAACCATTTTCCCTTATCTGCTAAAATAAAGTGGTGGGGGAAGGTTAGATCTATCTTTATTTAAATGTCAATAACTCCGGACTTGATTATCAGAATCTAACAAACGAGGGCTCGTTTAAAAGAGCGTTTCTTACTCTATATTATACCATAATAATAATAAGAATAAGGTTTTGAACGTAGACGCTAGGGGGCGCTTTCTTACAATTTAACAAACATAGCGCGTTTTTTCAAAAAAATTAAATACGATAGTATGTGTAATTTTAGCTGATAGTAAAGAGTAGTAAAAGCTTAAAAATTCAGCGAAAACCGTATCTTCATATCTTCTTTCAAACCGAAGATATTAGCAAAATTATAATAAATACTAAAAAATATGCCCTTAATTACCTTATTTTTACAATACGGTATCAGTAGCCCTTGTGATTATGCCCATTCTAACAAAAAATTACGATAAAAACAGTTTTTTTTTAAATCGACGAAATACCAGAATACCATAATACCAGATGTATTAATATCTAATAATTAAGATATTAATATCAGTGAACAAGAAACGATGATTCAGTGAAGTCATGGTAGGTTTTGGAAAAAAGTTGCTTTTGACGTAATAGTATAAACGTCAAATTGTTATTAGATCAACATTTTGATAGTCTTAGCAGCGTTTTTTATCTTTTTATTGCTTTTTCAAAATGCCAACAACTTCAACTACTTCAAATAATAAAGGTATTTTGAAAAAGCAATTAAAAGATAAGAAACGCTGCTAAGACTATCAAAATGTTGATCTAATAACAATTTGACGTTTATACTATTACGCGAAAAGCAACTTTTTTCCAAAGCCTACCATGACTTCACTGAATCATCGTTTCTTGTTCACTGATATTAATATCTTAATTATTAGATATTAATACATCTGGTATTATGGTATTATGGTATTTCGTCGATTTTAAAATAACCTAACTGTTTTTATCTTATTTTTTTGTTAGAATGGGCATAATCAAGAGGGCCACTGATACCGTATTGTAAAAATAAGGTAATTAAGGGTTTATATTTTGGTATTTATTATAATTTTGCTAATATCTTCGGTTTGAAAGAAGATATCAAGATACGGTTTTCGCTGAATTTTTAAGCTTTTACTACTCTTTACTACCAGCTGAAATTACACATACTATTGCATTTATTAAAAAAAAAGGTCAATATTTGTTAAATTGTAAGACAACGCCCCCTAGCGTCTACGTTCAAAAGCTTATTATTATTGTTTATATGGTGCAATATAGAGTAAGAATCGCTCTTTTAAACGAGCCCTCGCTTGTTGGATTCCGATCATCCAGTCCAGAGTTATTAATATTTAAATAAAAACAGATCTAACCTTCCCCCACCACTTTATTTTGGTAGATAGGGGAAATGGCTCTAACAAAAATATTCAAAATTTACTGAAGATTATAAAGCTATTGCTTATAGTACACCTTATCTAGGCAAAATTGTGTAAAAACTCCATTTTCTTATTTTTTTGTTGCAGTTGCGCCCCCTAGTGGTCGTTCTACAAACTTGAAAATAATTTCCAGAAATTTCTCATAGCCTCTTTAGTTATAAATATTTTTTCCGCAACCCCTACGGCTAATACTTTCCGAGATACAGCCGAGAGCTATTCTTAGTGGAACACCTTGTACATTATTGATCTGGGCCCTAGAAAATAATACCTTCTGTATAAATAAATAAAATTGGAGATAAAAATCAATCGTAGTTTACTATAAACTGCTTCAATGGACCACAGAATTACATTCGCAAGAAAATCACAAAGCGCAGCTCCTAAAAATTCAAACTCACAGATAGAAGGTTATCACGGTTCTAGTTTACAAAATCACAATCGCAGCAAAATTGTAAATCGCAACTGTATTGATATTAATTGCTTAAACTAAAACTCGCAAATGGAAGAAATCGCAGTCGCAGCTTCCTATAAGAGCCAATCGCACGTTGCGATTGCGATTTTAAAATCACTACGATTGAATCGCAGTTTGAGATTTGTTGCTCCTCTCTAGTTATTTGAGCTCTATTATTAATTATTTTTTCACTGGGTTGAGATTGTAAAAAATAATAAAATTTGAAGAATATTAAACCACTGTTATACAAGGATTGTGTTTTATATCAATCAGTCTCTACTTTCAACAAACTGTTTAAAAAAATTATTAATGCTTAAAACACTTGTCCACTTAAGTTTTTGTATGGCCATATGGTTTTCTTAATAGAATACTTCTTTATAAGTATCCTCTTGACGGTTACAATCTTAAACTGCTTTGGAAAGTGGACAATAAAATAAAGTAATAAGAGAGAATTTAATTTTTTTTAAAATTATTTTATTCTTAATTTATATATTATTTAAATAATAATTTAGTTAAAAAAAAATAAAAAAACAAATACCTAAACATGGAACTTACAATATACATTTTATACATACAGGATGACCCAATATTGTGACATAGCTCTAACGTTTACCTTCCAAAAAAATCAAGAAAAAGTATGGGAAGGTTAAAACTACTCCTAACCCCCACATAAATTTTAGTATATATTTTCCAACTCCTGCGACGACCGACTTTCTTTTCGTAAAATGGTCCTTCTAGTATTTACCACATTTTTTGTCTCTTGTAAAAAAACGCCACCGTGTATACTTTTTGAGGAAAAAAATTATTTTTCCCAAGCTGACTTCCAAAAAATTTTGCCAATAAATCAAGCTATAGAGGCGCATAAAATCTATATATCTATATATATATTGCTATCTATATATATGTATAACTAATAATCTAGTTTAAAAAAAAAGTTTATTTTTTTAAAGCTTGATGCCCTCTAGCGTTTCTCCGCATTTCTTTTTCAAAGCATTTTTGTATAGAGGTAAATTGTGTCCAATGAACTTATTTTTATTCTAAAAATACGTAGTAGTTCCACCAGTCCATGGAATATATTGGACGGAATATTGGGACCCATTGTATATTAGGTATTACACTTGTTTACGTATATACAAGAATATTACCCATTACCTTACAAAGATAGGCATGCGGGTACTTTTATATTAGACAAGTCTGATAACTATTTTTTTATTTTGTAGATATTCTTCTAGTGGCGAAAAGCACAAATTTGTTTGAATAAATGAACCCGCCACAAAGTTATAATGTTTTCTATATTTTTATTGTTAAAACTCATTTTTATTATTCAATAAAGTAATGCTTACCTTGCCCCATGATTTTAGACTCATTATTTCCATCAACTAGCCATACTGTAAAACAGTAGCTATCACACTTTACATAAGAGTTCCCAAGCGAAATGGAATCCAAAGAATCAGTTTCATCTTCACTTAGATGTTCAATACTACCCTGGGTATGAGCACACATAATCTGAGATGTCCCATAGGATGCATTGCAACAAAACATAATTGAAAATAGAATTATCCCATACCAAGCCATATTTATAATCTAAAAAAAACGTTGCTTTAAAAATGCACCAACACAATATTCAGTATTTTCGTCTACATATTCAGTACTCTAAGTAAAACATTTAAATATACTTATCAACAACTAAAATGTATAAAAATAAGTATACAAAACCTCATCTAAATAAATACCAACATATAAAATAAATATGCCAATAGGTAATACTTCTTAAAAACAATTTAGATTTGATATAAAAAATTATATACAAAACGTATAACTTAGATTAAATTAATACAAAATAAATAATACCTAGCTACTAAATACACAGATATAGAAACAAGCATAGGTAATCATAAAAAAGCAACTCTTTTTATAAAACTTACTTGCAAATATTGCAATTTGTCTATATATTTATAACTCCTTCCTATCGTATTAAATTAAGTCCATTCTCGATATACCTAATTAATACATTATTATTCAATTAAAATAAAATATAAAAATTAATTTTGAATAGAACACTAAACAGACTGACACTGATCAACACTGATACATAAAAATGCGCAGTGTACAACTATACTGTGAAGTGACAAGACCGTATATTTACTCTATTTAGTGTTCAGATATATTGAATGTATTGAACTCAATCCAACTCAATCTGAATAAAAAACAATAATTTAATAGTTATACATATCGCCAGACAGCCGCCAGTTTGCCCCGCAGCCATCCCATCCAGCCATGAAAAAAATATATCTTAACTGCGCACTGCGGCACTGCGCAATCCCACTGTCTCATGTCAGCTCATGTGCAGAAGCCATGCAGAACCATAATGCAGAACCACAGCAGAACAGAGATAAAATACATGATAAAATATTGACCTAACACGTGAACCATAACAGAAATCTATAATCTCTTTCCCTCTTTCCTATACCAGATCTCTGACCAGATAAACCAGATGTCACTTTACTATTTTCAATGATCCAAAGATTAATTATTTCTCACCATTATGGGAAAATCAGGACTACGGAGACCAGGGTTCGGAAGTAGTTAATGTAGTTAATTGAGACGTAATTTACCTGATTAACTACGTGTAGTTTATCTTGAAAAACTACGTCTTTTCCCGTTTGTTAACTACATGAAAACTACGTTAATAAACTACCTATTGATATTATGAATAATTTTGCTTTGTATGAAAAGTCTAAATAATTATGATGGGAATGGTTATATTTAAAGCCATATTGTTTCTGTTTTCTTAAATACATTATGGGTTTTCTAAAGCTTTAACTTATTATAACCTCACCTCAAACCTTTAGTATTTGAAAATTACATACATATGTTACATAAGCTACACCCTCTACATAAACTACATTAACTACATGTAATGTAGTTTATGTAGTTCTTAAAAGTAACATGTAGTTTTCCGAACCCTGACGGAGACTAAAGCCAAAGAATATCTTAATACGATTATGTGTTATCTGTCGTTAATCCAGATGGCCATTGCTTACGGAACAGCATGTTTTCGATGAGACAGTTCCCTATTAATGACACAGAGGGCGCCTATAGCCAAATGTAATAATATTTTTAAAACGAACGAATTTGGAGCCACACCACGGCCAGTGAAGCGACGTAGCCGGTGGTTCACATTTATAAGCAAATTCCCGGTCAAACCCAGGAAAAATGTATATTCGGACTTTAATACTAGACAATTGGATATGAAAATACTAGTCGCAGTGGATGTTTGAAAGTCAGAATTTCTAGATGCATATATATGCTATTTATAGCCATGAAATTTATAATTTAGATTTTATTTTTATTATTTGTCTCTTAATATTCATTAGCTGTAAAATAAGGGTAAAGGTTATCTATATAGTAATAAATAAAATTTGGCACATAGGTTCCTTAAGTGATGTAAATGAGCACTAAGAAGGGATTTTTTGAAAATTCGACCGCTAAGGGGGTGAAATTAGGGATGAAAAGCTGCATAAAAATTTGTTAAAATCTGGTTTAAGAGTATGAAATTTTTCACGAGTGCTCCTTGACTGACGTAATTGAACACTGAGGGGCAATTTTTGGAAATTCGCTCGTTAAGGGGTGATATGGGGGGTACTTTTGTATACAAAAAAAGCATGTCCTAGGACTACGAAATTTTGCACAGAGGTGCCTTAAGTAGCGTAACTTAACAGTTCGATTACAAAGCGATTTTAGGAAATTCTTCTACTAAGGGGTGAAACTGGGGGTGAAATTTTGCATACTTTTTTAAAATTAGTCCGAGGAGTTTGAAATTTGGAAATTGTTAATTAAGTGACGAAAGTGAAGACACTCAGAAGCCAAATTTTGGACATTCATCCCTAAGAAATAAGGGATGAAAATTGGTATAAAAATTTGTTAAAATCGGTTTTAGAAGTATGAAATTCTGCGTAGACGTTCCTTATGTAACTTAATTTAGCACTAAGAGGCAATTTTAGGAAATTTTGCCTCTAAGGGGGTGAAATAAAGGGTGAACGTTCTGAAAAAAAATCTGTTGAAAGTATGAAAATTTGCACAGAGGTTCCTCAAGTGATGATGAAAGTGAGTACTCAGAAGCGAATTTTAGGCATTCGCCCCATAATTTTCGCCCCATAAGAATTAAGGGATGAAAATTTGTACAAATATTCTTTAAAATCGGTTTTGGAAGTATGAAATTTTGCGCAGACGTTCCTTATGTAACGTAATTTAGCACTCAGGAACAATTTTTGGAAATTCGCCCTCTAACGGGGTGAAATGAGGTGTGGACGTTCTGAAAAAAAATGCTTGTTATTGCTAAATTACGTTACATAAGGAACAAACAGAATTTCATACTTCTAAACCCGATTTTAACAAATGTTTGTACAAATTTTCATCCCTTATTTCTCTTAGGAGATGAATGTCCAAAATCCACCTGTACAAAATTCCACACTCGTAGGACTGTTAGTTTTAACTTTCTATTGTTAATCTAAGGTTTTAACTAACAATTTATTAAAGTGCAACTATATAAAAATTATACAGGGTGGCGCCTCTCATACGACTCGGAGGCTCCAAGGAGAACGACCAGTTCGTATTGAAATGAAATTTTGTGAGCATATGTAAGTTAATTCTGCGCACGTTTTAAAAATATAGAGAGTTCTACAGGGTGGCGCCTCTCATACGACTCGGAGGCTCCAAGGAGAACGACCAGTTCGTATTGAAATGAAATTTTGTGAGCATATGTAAGTTAATTCTGCGCACGTTTTAAAAATATAGAGAGTTCTACAGGGTGTCCCCAAAAAAAGTTACACATCAAATTTGTGTTTTTTTGTAACGGAATACCCCCTTTATTAATTAATTTTTAGATTCTAAGAGAAAAATAAAGGTGTGTTTTATTAGGGAAGTATATGACTGAAATGTAAGGTTTTAGACTTACTTAAGATTTTGAAGAACAATTTTTAAATTTCAAGAAAAACTACCTAAATTGGAATTTACTCTATTGCACTTTAAATCAAATTAAAACCTGACCCATAAAGTTATACAGGGTGGGGCAAAATTAATGCTGAACATTGGTATAACCTGTATAACTCCTTTAATACCCACCCTGTATAACTCCTTTAGTTTAATTGAATCACCCAGAATATTATTCCGATATTCAATGGGAAATTCATGTCACTTCCAAATACTATTAAGGTTGCCGGCCTACCCCTCAAACAAAGATTTTCCTAGATATTTTCATTTCTATGATTTAGTGTGAATAGATCTTTATTATTTGATAAAATCTAGTTCAACATAGCTGTCAAATTAGTTCAACTTTAGCAACTAGTTATCATTTTGTGTCAGTTCGTCAGTTGAAACAAAAAAAAATCTAAGAAATTTTCCGAAAATAGAAACTTATCCTACATCAGAGAGAATTGATATGATTCTATTAGTTAGCTCCTGATTTTATCTAGTCTGGACTTTTTTATTTGATTAACATATATCAAATAAAAAAGCCCAGACTAGACAGTGTTAACAAAACTCGACCAAACCAAACCAAACTATTGTCTGAAACTGCATTTTTTTACTTACTAAATATGAATTTTACTTTGTTTTGTTGATCTTTGAAAGGTGTATAAAGTCGAATCATTTTAGATTGGACATTTAAATTTTATGGGATTTTCGGGATCCCGGAATTTAATATCGGGATTTCGGAGATAAACATACACGCCGCCGGGATCCTGGGAGTTCGGGATTTCAGGAAACTCTAGTCGTGAGATTAATGATGTACAGATGCATGTCATGTTGATTTGGAAGTGACAATCGATAAGATTTATCATATAATTTTACATACCTATTAAACGACAGCGATCTTCATTTCCAAGCCCACTCCCATGCCTTTTTTTTCTATCGTACGGTATATTCACTAACTGCATTACCTACTTATAATTTATAACAGTTTATATTCACTGATTCATTTATAATTTGTATCCACTTAATATTACTTGATTTATCCATCGTAAACTTTGCATAGATATAGAAATATAACGATGGACAACTCTTAATGTGTTAAATTATACCCTACGATCGAAAAAAAAACGGCGTCCGATTGGTTTGGAAATGACGATCGATGACATTCCCCATATAATTTTACATATCAAATGACAGCGATCTTCATTTCATAGCCATCGCTGACGCCGTTTTTTTTTCGATCATACGGTATATGGTAAAAGCCATCGATCACCATTTCTAAGGTAACTTAACGCCGTATTTTTACATACAAAATGTGCAAAAAAATTCTATATGAATGAACTCACAATTTTCTATCCACTTTGTACATAAATTAGGATCTCTTGACGCATGAAACTTAAACACATGTACACCTGATTTCCGAGAAATCTCACAATTGTAAAATTGACACTTATTACCAGACATTTTAATAATAATTATCACTAATCGCACAATTGTAATCAAAGACAGTCAAAGGTATATAGTATATTACCATCACAGATTACCATATATTACCCGGCTTTTAAAATATCCATTAAAAACAAAAAACAGTAAGGACATATCTAAATCTTCTATTTTTGTCGCATATGGTTCGTTCCTGTATTATTCTATGATAAGGGAAGGAATAGATATTTTCTATGATAAGTGGTAAAGCTAGGTTTTCATATGTACAAATTTGGCAAACGTTCCAGGAAATTCGGTCATATTTTTATTATAAAATTATTTATCATAAACAAATTTATTGTAAAAAAAAACTTTTGAACGTATATTCAAATTTTAAACGTTTCAATTAATAAATAACGTAAATCACTTTTAAATTAAATTTAAGAAAAAAAATCAAAATTAATAAAACGTAAATCACTTATGAACAAATCATTATTTTAATTTCAAATTTATATTTCGAAGTTATATTACAAGTTATTTACTGTTGTCTTATACAGAGTATATCAAGACAAATGCGAAACTTTAAGGGGTGTATTCTTTGTTATTTGTCAACATTTTTAAAATAAGCTGAAGAGGTTGAAATAAACTATTTCTAATATTCATACGTTTTTATGACTTGCAATTTTTCCATAAAATTCATTATTTGAGGTTAAAAAAAAATGTAAATTATTATGTATTGGGACCAAAAAAATATTTTAGCAAAGAAGCTGTTCGCCTTAAAAACAGTTTTATTTTCTACTACTGTAAAATATTTTTACAAACGACATATAAAGATAATTGATTGACAAACATGTTTTAAGCCACCCTTCCTAAATCTTCCTTAAAATAAAAAGATTAACAGATGGGAATACATATTATACCGCATGATCGAAAAAAAAAAGGCGTCAGTTGGCTGGGAAATGGCAATCGATGACATTTCCCATATAAATTACATTTAAAATGACAGCGATCTTCATTTCATAGCCATCGCTGACGCCGTTTT